TTTTTAAATCAATCTAAGGTTGTCACATTATAAATCGTATTACCTATTATTATTATTTATTAAAATTCAGAAATTATAAATATTTAAAAAGTTATAAAACAAATTAGAAACCTATTAATTATTTATATTTAAATTAGTATTGTGCATTTAATAAATAAGTACATTTTGTTGAAAGTTGTATTTGTCAGGGGGCGTTCGCCCCCCCCTGAAGTATACCTGGATTCATCACTGTGCATTTCAAATATATATTTATACCTTTAGTTCAAAATATTATTTACATACTGACTCTTGACTCTAATGACTAATACAAATTATACTAATTTTATTAAAACTAACTTTTTTCCGAAGATATTTTCCATTTTTTTTCTGGGGCTTTTTTTCAGAATACCGTATTAATTAATTGTATGACTAATGAGTAATGACTATAATACATTACTATATTATTCTATATTTCTAATGTAACATTCCTATTTTCTATCAGCAAATTTTAATGATAAATTGTCCACAGACCACAAATATACTACGAGTACAACAACACCGTTGTTGTAATGTTGTGATCACCACTCATAATATTATAGAGGGGAACAACGTTCATTCGAAATATTCTATCCAGTCATTGTTCACGCAGAGTAGGTCGTGGTCCAATGACTTCCGTAGTTTTGGAATTTTTTCCTACCGCGTCTGTCCCGACAGTTTTCTAYCTCCATGATAACCGCGGCCGCGGCGCGTGCATTTGAATGTTCACCATTACAGTCTATAATATTAATTATCTTATCTCTTTTACTTTGGTCGCGACTATTCTACACCACGGTCGACGACGTTCATTATAAATTTATAAATAATGTGTATAAATAATTAATATTAATATTAATATGGTCGTTTATCAAAACAGAAACACGTGCCTATTATACTGTCTAGCACCAGCCACCAACTACAGTCGTATCACCACCGGTCCGTAATTAATTTGTACCTATAAAGTTCGTGATCCCTCGATCGATTAACCTTGCTTCACACTAAGTTTTTTTWWTTTTTTTTCTAATTTTTAAATTGTTATCACTAAGAACAGTACGAACGCCATAACAACAAATTCGCGCGCACACGCACACGCACAAGCATATAAACACAAACCCAACTACTGCTATAAAACACACACGCACAGTGCATACACACACATACACACACTGTACGCAACACACACATGCACACACACACTAGTGACTACACTCACACAAATTACAAATTTACAAATCCTCACGCTAGTCCAAACACTCCGAGCACAAGACAGCAGTAATAATAATAATATTATTATTTATTACTAYTGTTATTGGCGTTTTGGATTTTTAGCGCGGATTACCGACACCGGCGACTGACGAGGTCGGACAGCAGTTACCACGTAAAATACGAACGGCAAAAGTATTTTCGTTTTCGTATAACGTGATTCACCGTTTCCGTTATCGCTTGCCGCCCGGCGTTCCGCTAAACATCAAATCCACCCAACAAGTAAGCGTTTTTATTATTTATTAAATGTTTGTCGTTCATCCTTTTGTGACCCTCTATGACGGTGATGGTACCTACCTACATTTATCGTAGCACCGTTTTGGGCTGGTGTTGAGATTTTAAAATGTTGGTACCAAATCGTCTTCGGTCACCATCAGCGTTCTTTATCAACACATATTTTTATCTCCTTTATTTTCACTAAAAACGACAACATTTGTTCACATTTATAACTTATCTATCTACCTTTTTATTTTGTTGTAACTCAGGAAACATTGATTTGGTTGTTTATCATTCATTTTTGATCTTCGTAGCATCACCCGAGTTTTAAAAATGGCTGTGAATTTACTGCAGACAACCAACATTGGMAAAATCAATAACAAACGCTTGGCGTTGATACAAATTGTGAAAATCGATCTGAATGCCGGAATCAACAATGAAACCTCTGATGATGGCATCATATACTCTCCTGCTTACATTTCCACTACTAATACTTGTGTCATGAACAGTGGAACGGCATCACAGGGGATACAATTTCAATTGTTGGGTGAGTGTTGATAATTGGTTAAGTTTATGGAGATAAAGAAAATATTTCATTTTAAATGTTGTTGATATTGAGGATGAAATACCTAAATATCTATCTATATTAATGTCAGCCATCAATGATAGGTACCATCCTTAACCTCTCATAATTGTTAGGTTTAAATCTTTATAGGTAAATATAAATTTTTCTAAAGTAAAGTACTTGGGTTTAAATTTAAAAAATCTATTGAAAATCTATTAAAAATAATTTACATTTTTTTTTTTTTTGTTTATTTAGAAAATTTATCTTAAATACCTTAAATGTAAAAAATTAAGAATTTAAAAATGGAATGTTTTAACTTGTTGGTAGTTGTAGTTTTTTTCTCAATAAAATACAACAATTAGAAATTAATAAACAAATACCTAATTCAAGTGATTATAAAATCAGTTTTGAAAAATATAGGCATGTCATTTTTAACAATAATTGTWGTAGGTACCTATTTAAAGTCATTCATATATTAATATATTATACAGTTATAWTTATTAAAATATTTTTAAATCTATATTCATTTTGTAACTAAAATTTCAAATTTTAACTACTTGACAGGTACCTAAACAATAAATATAAGTTAATAATCAATAAGTTTTGCAATTTCAATTTGTTTAATAATTAAGGTTGCCAACTTTTAATTTGGAAAATATTGGGACAAGGAAATAAAAGATAAGA